GAGCTGTACCAGAGTTGAATTGGCGTTCCTCTTCTTGGTTCTCGAACTTCGCACTTAAGAGGAACATGATGTAGGTGGCGCCATCGGTATGGCGGCCGCCTATGTCAACGCCGGAATTGATAACTGCTGGGGGGACTCTCATGGCTATGGTCCGTGCGAGGCCCCCCAAGCTTCGCTGCAAGGCTGCAGCTTGTTGGGGGGGCGCCATGTTGCCTGTGGTCACGTTGATCCAGGCATGCACCTCGCGAGCGAATTCGCGGAAAAGGTACCTGCCCGGACGGGTCCCAATGGGGGCCGGTCGTTCTTGCGTCGCCCCCACCACGCATATGTCCCACCGCACGCCCGATAGCAACCCATGTGAGCCCAAAGATAGTTCTACCAATCCAATGGCCTCGTAGGTCGTAGTCGGATGTGGTTGGTTGGGGTCGACGGCGTGCGGTCGTAAGCCTGCGTGGGGTTGGAGGCGGCACAATGTCGTATCGCATGTTTCCATGCATTTTCTCTTCGACGAAGTTCCCAATTGGAGTAGGTGGGTGGACTTCAGGAATGTAGTAGCGCAGGGATGTAGGACGCGAGTATGAGGCCTCTCCGTAGGCAGAGGTCTCACTGCAAGTGTCCTTGCTATGTTGCGTAGTTTTATACGCTCCTCCGCGCCAACCCACTGCACCCTGATGCTCCACCACGTCAGTAGTCCACCAGATAGTGCCGTGGATGGTGAGGAGTAGAGCAAGAGCTGACCACCATAGGCCAGCTCCGCTACCACGTTTGCAATGGGTTGGGAGGCCCAGCCAGCAGCTTCGCCTTAGGCCAAGCCCAGCTCCAGCTCTTTTAAATCGTACAAGCGATCGTCCCAGTAGTGGGTCGTCGCGGGAGCGAGGGGCAATCTCAAGCGAAGGATGTTTTCGGTCTCGATGGCGAATGGTACACCTCGCACTGAGGTGTAGTCAGATTTGGGCGGCCGGCCGCTTTGAGCCAAGCGGCCGCGGGCACACGTTCGCTTCCAATCACCTGTGTCCCCAGCTCGCTGTAAGAGTGGTAGTAGTTGTACTGGTAGTAGTCGCAGGAGTAGTAGTAGTAGTAGTAGTAGTAGTAGTAGTAGTAGTAGTAGTAATAGTAGTAGTAGTAGTAGTAGTAGTAGTATTAGTAGTAGTAGTAGTAGTAGTCGCAGATGCAGCAGCAGTAGTAGTGGTAGGAGTGGTAGTAGTAGTAGTAGTAGTAGTAGTAGTAGTAGTAGTAGTAGTAGTAGTAGTAGTCGTAGTAGTGATAGTGGTAGTAGAAGTGATCTTAAAGTAGCAGCACTATGAGTAGTAGTAGTTGTTGTAGTAGTAGTAGTAGTAAAAATAGTAGTAGTAGTAGTAGTAGTGGTAGTAGTAGCAGTCGTAGTAGCAGTAGTCGTCGGAGTGGGAGTGTTAGTAAGAGTAATAGTAGTAGTAGTAGTAGTAGTAGTAGTAGTAGTAGTAGTAAGGTACTACTAGTAGTAGTAGTAGTAGTAGTAGTAGTAGTACTAGTACTAATGATAGAAGTAGTAGTAGTCGTAGTCGTAGTAGGTAGTAATAGCAACAGTTATCGTAGTCGTAGTAATAATAGAATTGGTAGTCGTAGCAGAAGCAGGAGGAGTACAAACAATGATAGTTGTAGTAGTAGTAGTCGTAGTAGCCGTAGCAATCGTAGTAGTCGTGGTTGTAGAAATCGTAATCGCAAAAATAATAGCATTTGGAGTAGTAGTAGTAATAATGGTAAAGGTAGTAGTAGTAAGAGTAGTAGTAGTAGTAGTAGTAGAAGAAGAAGAAGTAGTAGTAGTAGTAGTAGTAACAGTTGTAGTAGTAGTAGTAGTAGTAGTAGCAGTAGTGGTAGTCGTAGCCGTAGTCGTAGTAGTAGTAGTAGTAGTAGTAGTAGTAGTAGTAGTAGTAATAGTAATAGTAGTGGTAGTGTTAGTGGTAGTAGTAGCAGTAGTAGTAGTAGTAGTAGTAGTAATAGTAGTAATGGGAGTAGGAGTAGTAGTAGTAGTAGTAGTAGTAGTAGTAGTACTACTACTACTACTCGTAGGAGTAGTAGAAGTAGAAGTAGAAGTATAAGTATAAGTAGAAGTAGAAGTAGTAGTAGTAGTAGTAGTAGTGGGAGTAGTAGTAGTAGTAGTAGTAGTCGTCGTCGTCGTCGTCGTCGTCGTCCTCTCCTCCTCCTCCTCCTCCTCCTCCTCCTCCTTTGTCGCCGTCGTCGTCGCCGTCGCGTTTGACCCCCCTTTCCCTGGGCCCTTCGCCGCGCCCCCCCCTTTCACTGGGCCCTCCTCCTTAAGCGAGCCAGCCAAAACTGCTTCAAAGCGAAATTTAGCAACGCCGTAGTTGAGTCGAAGGGAAATCACCTTCCTTTGATCCCTCCCCCCCCGGAGGGCGGGGGATCCTGGGGGGTGCCACAAAGGGGGATCCTGGGAAAGGGGGGGGTCCTGGGGGGACCCGGGTCAGAATGCCATCCTTCCCTGGAGGGTCTTGGGGCCCACAACAGCTCCACGACAACCAAAAAGGCCACCAAGACGGTCCAACAGGGCCCCGAATTGCCGAACAATCGGTCCAAGACCCCGAAGGCGGCCTCCTGAAAGCCCAAGCGGCTTCCAAGACGATCGAAGATGCCTCAATGAGCACACCAAGAGGGCCACAACAGACAAAATTCAGTGATTTTCTCAAGGGTCTTGCAAGATTCTGGCGTTCTCGCCTTTTCGGCTTCCCGACGCCCCAAGATGGCCCAAAATTCCACAAAGATCGGTACAAGCGGCCCCCAACAGGTTCCCAAGACGGCCCCAAAACGACCCAAGAGGGCCCCATGACGGCCCTAGAGGCCTCCGAGACGAGGCGCCCAAATCGGCTCCAAGAGGGTTCCCATACGGGGGACCGAACGAACATTTCGAGCTCTCGGCCCCGAGAAGCTCCCTGGAGGGCCCAAGAGGCCCCCAAGAGACCCCCGAGAGGCCACAAGAGGCCCCCAAGAAGCCCCCAGGAAGCTCGAAGGCACCCCAAAGAGGCCTCAAAGATGCTCCCAAGATGCGCAAAAGCTGCCCCCCAGATGCCTACGAGCCCACTCCGAAAAAGGCCCCACGAAGCATCACTGAAGACTCTCCCTCACGTCAACGTCGTCGTCGCCGCCGAAGCAGCCGTTGTGGTCGCTGTTCGGGGACGCACCGACCCGAGTCAACGCAAACCAGGGTCAATCAGGCGTAAAATTCTGCAGGATCCTGCTGGATCCTGCGCGCCAACCCGGGTCAGTGCAGTCCTGGCTCTGCAGGATCCTGCAAGATCTGGCGCTCTGGCTGACCCCGTTTACATTGACCCCCGTCACTTGAGACCCGAATTATGCCCTGCAGGGTCGGCGGCACCGGCCGTAAGGCCTTTCCAATCGGGCTCCGCGCGACCCTCCGACCCCATCTACTCAAACCCAATTTGGGAGGCCTGCGTACTAGGAGGGAACTCCTAGGCACTGTTTCGAGTGGGCACGACTAAGCACAATGAACCCGATTCGAAGGTCTGCCGAGGGGGATCGGAGCACGATGCAGCCAAGGACGAATCCAGAGAAAGACGGAGGAGGCCCAGACTTGGCCAGATTTGGCCGCGACTTCGACCAGGGTAATCACAGGGCCGATGCTCGCATGGCCTTCCCGACCTCGAGAACTCGCTCTGACGCCGGCGAGGCCCGAACGCCACCCAAGCGACGAGAGAGAGAAGCGGCCTGACGCGCGAGGACGCGGCGACCTCACGTCGGGCCCCTCACGCCGGGCCGCGCCCACGGTGGCCCTCCCGAGCTCGGAGACGCGCGCTGACGCCGACGAGGTCTGTCGGGTCGGGCGAAAGGGGGGGATAGCAAAGGGGGGGTTGAGAATCAGCTCACGTAGCTGATTTTCCCGGCGCCTCCCGGCGCCGGAGGCGGCTATGTATCGAGGAATGGGCCCCTCGGTGAGGCCGAAACCAGCTGCATGCAGCAAATTTCGTAACCCCCCCTTTCCCAATCCCCCCCTTTCGCCCGACCCGAGTCTGGAAGGCCACACGAGAGCCGCATCTGCGGGTCTTGCGCGAGATGGCATGCGGCCTCACGCAGTGGCTCACCCGGGCCGCCACCGTGGCACACCGCGTGGCACAGAGGGCGCCCACGCGCGGCCATGGCGCGGACAGCTCGCGCGCCAATGGCTGGCGAAGACGAGCCCCGTTGCTCTGCGCCACCTTTCCTCCTGCCTGCCAGGACCCCCGACGTCGTGAGTTCTCAGAACGCGGCTCCCCGGCGGTCTGGACCGCCCCCCCTTTCCCCCGGGACCGACTCCTCGTCCCGAGTCGTTCCTTGACGGTCCCGGGGGCCCGGCGAGGGAGAACAGAGGCCGAGAATTGCAGGCCACCTCCATAAACAGATCCACGACGCGAGGCGGGAGCCAAGTGATGCCGATATCGCTACTGCCGGGACCTCTCCCGGGGTGCGCTCTGACCAGAGTTTCGAAGCGAAGCCAAACGCGGCGACGAGGCCTCCCAGGAGGCGCAAGAGAACGAAAAGTCGAGTGAAGGGTAGCGGCATCGGTACAGTCGAGTCGCATAATAAGGATGCGCGACAAAGATGCACGGGCCTTGGAGGGCCATGTCGAACGGGGCTGGCCAGAACAAGTCGCCAGGGATGGGCCGAAGGTGCATGGATGCAAAGGGCAGCCTGGGAAAATCACTAACTTGCTGTGCGACTGTAGCGGTACAGTGGAGGCCAGTCCACAAGAAACCTCCCACAAGAAACCCAACCCTGAGACCCCAGGACGTCTATTGATTTTGGTGGTTGGAACGTCACGCCTTCCATAGCAAAACCATCGAAAGCCACGAAACCGAGGGCACCCTGGAGGCAAGCAGGGTGTTTCTCGGCATGGGTGTCCGCTGTATCGTTACGTGCATGTTCCTTCTCTGCACTTCTGGCACGGCTGAGGAGGAGGAGGAGGAGGAGGAGGAGGAGGAGGAGGAGGAGGAGGAGGCCGACAGGTGGGCCGCGGCCTCCGGGCACCGCCACGGTGGCGAGCTGTGCCGCGGGCTCCACGCCAAGCTTGGCCACGGGGTCCTCGGCGTCACCGCCTGGCCCGGTCGGCGGCACGCCCTCGGCCAGCTCGGCCAGCGACGCCTCTCAGGTGCGCCGGCGAGGAGGGCCAGGAAGGGGGTCATCGCACCATCCGCCCGTTGCGAAAATTACCCCAGCAAACTCCCGAATAGCAACAGAGGTGAAGAGACGGGTCGAGGAGGAAGAGGTCGGCCAGTGAAAAACGTGCAGTCCTAGGGCTTCCTGGGCGAGACAGGGGCTCAGACCACGGCCATGTGAGCGACGAACCAAAGACGGGTCTTACTCGAGATGACATAGAGACCTTACGCGGTGGCTTACGCGGGCCGCCCGCGCGGCACGCTGCATTGGAGACGAGGGCGCTTTCGCGCGACCTTACGTGGGGTCGTCGCGCATGTGAACTGTAGCGCACCGTAATCAGCGTATTCTGTTCACAAGGGGTCGTGGCCAGGTGACGGGGGTGACAGCGCGGCCATGCGCACCGTAGCGTATATGTCGCTCCAATGGATCGCGGCTGTGTGGCAGGGGTGAGGGCACGGCCACGTGCACCACCGTGGTCGCTCTCTTGACAAGGGGCCGTACCTGTGCGACAGGGGTGAGGACACGGCCGTGTGCACCGTAACGTATGTATTTCTTGAGTGGATCGTGGCCGTGTGAACAGGGGCGAGAGCACGGCCAGCTTCACCGTAGCACTGCACTGTGGGACTCTCCTGTTGTTTTCACCTACGTTGGACACATGCAACGAAACGCACTTAGAGGAAAGTTACGACGGAATGCTTGTTGCCCATTTTTGGACTGGAGCGATGGGGGCAACGGCAACTTCAGGGGGCGGTGGGAGGTGCAATAATTAGCGTGCGCGAACTCTTGCGCGAACTAGTGCTTGGGGCCCCGAGCTGCTGCAGGGGGCGTGAACTATTGCGTTTGAAAGAACACACGATTGCATCCACGCACAACTATTACGTCCAGACCGCAAATGAATGTATGCATGCATGGAATACTACAACTACTATTGCACCCACTCCAACCCTCCATCTGTGCTCCCCCCTGCTCCGGTTTAGACGTTTTCAGCCTGCAAAGCCACCCACCAAGCCTGGAACCGTCAAAACTCACAAACGGCAAACATATCCGTGTCCGCGCCGTCACGGTTTGGATTCTGGGGCGCAATCCCGCGGATACGATGTGGCACAGATCCGTTCCGCGCGGGGCATCCGCGAACAAAAACCCTCGTGTCCGCGGGGTTGCGGCCCAGGGGCCCAGCACGCTAGGCCGCGGATACGGATACGGCCGGACCTAGGACAGGAGAACATCCTTCAAAGACATGAGACTCTCCGCTGGCCAAACTGAAGAACATTCAAAAGTACCCTCCCCCAGGATACACAAGAAGAACCATTAGGGCACCCTCCCCGAACCGACCTCGATCTTACTCACTTATACCTCGGTCCGACCGTACGTTTCTGACCCACGACAAACGACCCAAGACGGGAAGCTGGTCCCGGAGAAGGCGTCCAGACTTCTGTGGAGCCGCGCTGAGAAAACACATCGCGACGGAGGACGTCTCGGGCAGCGGGGGCTCAGCGCACCGTGGCCAGAGGCAGTGCGCACGGACGAGGGGAGGGGGGCAGGGAGCGCACCGGAAGAGGAAGAGGGGACCAAGCAGGAAATCTGGGAGATCGCATGGCTCAGGCCAGGGCTCGACCTGAACGGTGTTTTCCGTCTTTTCGTTATGATTTCGTTTTCCCTCGCTTCGTCCTCGCACCGCCTTTGCGTCGAAACGAAATCGAAACGGCGACGGCCCACGGAATCGCCAAAACACCGTTCAGGTCGAGCCCAGGCCCGGGCCTTGGTGTCCCCCCACCCGCCCAAAGTCGTCATCGCCTACCTCGGAGGCCTGGTGGTCCTCGGCAAATCACTCGGGCCTCCGGCGGCCGTTCGAGAAAATCCGGGCACCCCTGGAAAGCTCTCGGCGAGGCGCGGCTGCGGGAGAGCACCCCGAGGGTGAAGACTGCCGCCGACCGACGAGAGCGTCCGAAAATCTGTCCTCGGGCCCGATCTTCGGCTGCCCCCGAGTCTTCCTTATATCCTCCGTCGTGTTTTATCTAGGGGGAAAACTAACCTACCTCGCTTTTGACCACCCTCGCTTCCAAGAGATACCAAACGATGCCAAATTGCAGCCTGTACTGGTCAGGCCGCCTGACGAGGAGGCGCGTGGTATGGCTTGGTTTTGCCTGGAAGCGAAAGCGGGGTAGGTAATTCACGCTCTGATTATCGCAAGGTGCCTCCCCAGAAGTCTGGACCCATCCCCCAGGACCGGTTCTTCGTCCTGAGTCGTTCTGTGGACGGTGCCCAGGGCCAGCGAGGGCCCCGGGAGGCCGAAAGTGGACAAAATCCTGTGGCCGCGAACCTTTCCCAACGGATGGGTTTCGGGAAGTTCCCATCGGTGCTACCGATCCCGCGTCCGCGCCCGGACGCGTCGTCTCGCCAGAATCGTCCCCTGTACGGTCCTGGGGCCCTGCAATGGCCCCCAGAGGCTTGATACTTTGATGGGCCGATTTTCCACCACCACCACCACCACCACCACTACAACAGGAAGGACGGGGGAGCAGGGAGGATGCGGAGGTGTTTTCCTCCTCTTCCTCCTTCTCCTCCCCCTCCTCCTCCTCCTCCTCCTCTTCCTCCTCCTCCTCCTCCTCCTTCTCCTGCCTATGTGGAGAACAGAAAATGCACCCTCATATTAAGCACCCCGACAAGCGAAGCCGCTTAGTAAACGCACCCAGGGCAGCAGTCAAACAGGGCAGTAAACGCCCAAGGCCGTTTAGCAAACGCCAGTGATCGGGGCTGGGGTGGATTATTATCCTCCCTTGGCTATATTCGGGGGCTCGCAAACATGGATTAGCAATCCCTGGATTTGGGGCGCGGTCGCCAAATCCATGGATCAGTGGAGGTGCCCTCCCCGAAATGCGGCCAGAGCCGCCTCGTAAGGCGGCGGGAATCCGCGATTTCCAGTGGAAACGGGACACGTCGCTAACCCCCGCCCCCTTGGCCCACGTTTGCGATCGCCGGACATATGGGAGTGGCGGTGGAAACTCGGCTCATCGCACCCACCACAAGCCCTCGGTCGGGACTTTTCCACGGCGCGAGGACGGCAGGGCCCTGGCCGCCCCCGAGGCCTCGGCTGGCGGCTCCTCGGGCGGGGCGCAGGCGGGCCGCGCGCTGCTGCGCCGCGGGGTCTCAAACGGGCGAAGAACGGAAAACAAAATAGACCTGTCCGCCGCCGGGGATGCCTGCCCTCCGGGCGGCAGGAAAGCTGATACCCCTGACGACGTGGCACCGGAAGGGTCTGCACTTTCCAACCGCCTGGGGGGCAGGCGTCCCCGACGGCGGAAAAGTTGATGTTGTACCGCTCTTCGCCCCCAACCCGGATCGCGCAGTCGGACAGGAGCGGGAACGGCTTCGAACATCAGCGATGAAAGTTGGCGGCGCGCAGAGGAGGGAAAAATCAACCCGGCCAAAAAGGACGCACGATAAGGATACATGGGCCTTGGAAGGCCACGCCGACACTTTGCGAGCGGGCCTAGCCCACAGGTCTTTAGAACTTCCCGGAAAAAGGAAATTCATAATTTCCTCAGCGGCCTTAATGACGGACTGGTGTCCCATCAATAAACAAGATCTAATTCTTCCCCGCGGCGCCCGCCAGCAGCGCTCTCATGGAAAATTGTGGCGCAAGCACGTGGCATTCAACACATTGATCCTGGAAGCTCCATCCTGAGAAGGACTGTTGCAAATCAGGCCCCGCGCGGGCCATCAGAAAATCCATCCTCTCTCGCGTGGCCTATGCAATAAGATGATGCTTACAAATCCTCCCGCGTGCAGGGTCCGCTGGAGAAATAAGCCGTAAATGATCCAGCCCCCCCAACAAGAAGGGGAAACATATCCCGCGTCGCCGCGCGCGCCGACAAGGCGCCAGCAGGAGTTGTGCCAGCAGCGCTAGGCAAACGAGGTTGAGCAAACTCGCGAATCAAAGCGAAGCAACTCCTATTGCAATTTCATGAGAAGATGCTTACAAATCTTCCCGCGTGCAGGGTAGCCCACAATGATTTATTCTGCTGGAGACATAAGCCCCAAACATTATCCACCCCCCTCAAACAAAAATGAGGGAAATGTATCCCGCGTCGCCGCGCGCGGGGACCAGGCGCCAGCAGGAGTTGTGCCAGCAGTGCTAGGCAAACGAGGTTGAGCAAACTCGCAAATCAAAGCGAAGCAAGGGTTGTTGCAATTCTTTTGACAAAAATCCTACACATCCTCCCGCGTGCAGGGTCGCCCACAATGGATTATTCCGCTGGAGAAGTAAAACCCCAAACATTACCCATCCCGCCCAGAATTGAGGAAACATAATCTCCGCCGCGACGAGGAGGTCTTCGGACCAGTTTCTGTTCGCCGCCGAGAGATCAGGGGGGGTCAAAACTAAATACCTCAGTGGGTTACCCCTGCGCGTGGCCAAAAAAGGCAGAAGAAACCAATGAACGCGTTCTGGTTCTGACTTCCGACATTTGGCCGAAGGGTGGAGGAGGGGGGTCTGTGTCTGGTCTGGTGCTTAGTCGAGCAGACTGGAGGGAAGAGTCCTGACCAGTCACCAAAAGCAACCGCCGAAAGAGCCAAGATCTAGTCTATGGAGGGGGGGGAGAGGGGATGCCAGGGGCCCGCGCCGATCGGCGAAACAATGAATCAAAAACGGCAACCTGCCTCGCTTTTGACCACCCTCGCTTCCACACGAGAACGGGACGATACCAAGCTACCCGCAGCGGTCAGGCTGCTCGACGAACAGGCGTGTGGTATGACTGGGTGTTGCCTCAAGGCGGAAGCGGGGTAGGCAATTCACCCTCCAAGAATCGGCCGGAATCGAATCGACATCAGAACGCCGCGCCTGGCTCCAGCTGGCCCAGGCCGATGCCGGCGAATCGAGCCGAGCCGAATCGAATCGGAATCGAATCGAGTCGTAGGCGGCCGCGCGCCTGGCTGGCGCGGCCGCCCTCGCTGCCGCGGCGGGCTCGGTCGGCCACCGCATGCAGGCCCGCGTACTCCGCGGCGAGCTCGGACAGCCGCTGCCGGAACAGGAGCGGGTCCATGCCGCGGGCCGCCTCTGGGGATCAAACTTGCGTTCACCCCGACATTCGTTGCACCAGTTCACGGAGGAGGAGGAGGAGGCAAAGGTACCAATGCTGCCTCGTTCGGCCCTCTCGGGCCGACAGGGAGGCCCTCGTCGCCATGGCTGGATTCTCCTCGAAGTTATATCCAGAACGCAACCCGAGACGGGTCCTTGGAACAGCGGTGACATGCTCAGGGTGACAGCGAAAAGCCCGTTTGTGAGGAGGGGTCCAGACATCTGGAAGGCCACGTTCCGAAACAAACGCGACAGAGGATGTCTGGGTATATGCAGGTTCATCTCCTTCCTCCTCCCTCCTCCATCCTCTCCTACCTGGGATGGGGGGAGGGGGAGAAACGAGGCAGATCCGCCACCCTGCCTGCGGCACGTTGAAACGTGGAAGAATGCCGAGTGCTGCCTGGCAGGGTTTCTGTAGCCTTCTAAGGAAGGGACCCCCCCACCCCCCGGTCACGTTTCCCCGACTGCACCACCCCTACTCCCGAGGGGGAATCGCAGAACGATCGCTCGAAGACGCCCAAGATGGCCTCCAGATGGCCCAAGAAGCCTCCAAGGCGTGGCCTCCCAAGAGGACCCCAAGAGGCGAAATAACTTGTGATCCAGCAGTTTTTGAAGGATTTTGGTATTTTCGCCTTTTCGGTTTCCCGACGCTCCAAGACGGCCCAATATGCCCCCAAGACCACCCCAAAACGGCCCAAGAGGCCTCCAAGAGGGCCTCAAGAAGGCCTGAGGGCGCCCCAAGACGGTCCAAGAGACGCGCAAGACGGAGCAAGAGGGCCTCAAGACGGCCCGAAAAGGAGCCCAAGAGGGAGCATGAGCCGAAAGCCCGAGCCTTCCGCCCCAAGAGACCCCCATGAGGCCCCAAGAGACGCCCAAGAGGCCCCAGGACAGGGAGCCCACAAAGGACGTACGCGCCCAGCTATGCACATGAACACGGCCTCGCGATCCGCGAGACCGGCCGCGTGATACGAACTTTCGGGCAATGCATACTCTTGAAACCAGCGTGGATTCATGTACGTGTACGTCCTTCTGTCGCTCCTGACAGGAGGCCCCCAAGAGGCCCCCGAGAGGCCCCCAAGAGGCCCCAAAGAGGCTCCAAGGAGGCACCCACAAGGCCTCCAAGAGGCTTCAAGACTGCCTCCAAAAGGTCTCTCACAGGTCTTCCACGAGATCCCAACGAACATTTTTTCCCGAGCGTCCCACCCTCCACGGGGGGAAATAGCTGTCGAGCCCCGTGGAGAAAACAATCGTTGGGAATCAGAGGCCCGGCCAACCTCTGCCAACGGAACCTCTGCCGACGGAACCTCTGCCGACGGCACCTCTGCAGCACAAAGAACATCCAAGAGGCTTATAATCCGCAGCCCAGGCACGGTGGCGGGACTTGCCGGAGGCAGCCGGATAGATGCGTACAGTAGCAGCAGCTCCCCTCGGGCCCTGGTGCTGCCAGGCGCGCCCCTGGCTTTCTGGCGCAAGACGTCCCTATAGGATGTCCTACGCGAGGTGATATAGCGACCTCACGCGGTGGCTTACGCGGGCCGCCAGCGCGGCATGCTACATTGGAGACGAGGGCGCTTACGCGCGACCTTTGGCAGGCAGCTTACGCACGAATGTCGGCGCAAACGACCAAGTTTTCTTGCGTCGCTCCGATGGCCTCCCGGAGCACCCCTCACGAGGCCCAAAGGGCCCCAGGCACAGGCATCCGACGTCGAGATTTTGATCACAACGAGGCTCCCCCCAGAGGTCTGGACCCCTTCCCCCGGACAGGCTCTCCATCCAGAGTCGTCCTGTGAGGGCCCCCAGAGGCCGACAATTCTGTTCCGAGAGGACGGGGCTGCAACATGGCGCGAAAATTTGGAAGCCCAACGACAAATTCTGTCCAACAACAAACGCCAAACGACAAATGCGGAAGATATGGGCACGATGCCCAACAACAAATGCTGTCCAAAACCAACAGCAGCCTCTGTTGGGCGGGGACCTTCTGTCTCGAAGTGACAACGTCCGCACCGACACCGAAAGCGAGTCCTGTTCAGAATGGACAGGAACTGCTGTCTGTCTTCGTACCCATTCTTTCCGTACAGTGGAGGCCCGTCCACAAGAAACCTTCCACGAGAAGGCCAACCCTGAGACCCCAGGGAGTCCCTTGATATTCGGTGTAGGACCATCGCGCTTCCCATGGCAGAACCATCGCAACCCAAGCAACCCAGGGCACCCTGGAGGCGAGCAGGGTGCTTCTTGGCATTGGCCTCCACTGTAGCCACTCCGATCCTGCCGAGCCTTGGGCCTGGACCCCCCCAAAGGAAGGTCGTCGTCGTCGTCGTTATCGTCGTCATCGTCATCGTCGTCGTTATCGTCACTGTCATCGTCAACAATTTTCATCAATCGTCGTCGTCATCGTCATCAATTGCCATCCTCATCGTCGTCGTCATCGTCGTCGTCGTCATCGCCGTCATCGTCGTCATCATCGTCGTCGTCGTCATCGGCATCGCCATCGGCATCGTCATCGATTGTCATCAATTGTCATCCTCATCCTCATCGTCGTCGTCGTCGTCGTCGTCATCTTCATTGTCACTGTCATCAATTGCCATCAACTGTCGCCGTCGTCGCCGCCGTCGCCGTCGTCGTCGTCACTCCCCCGGGCACCACCCGAGCGGGGGCCTCGGCGGGCGCGGGCGCGGGCGCGGGCGCGGGCCTCCAGGCCGAGATGGTCCGAGCCACCGGGCCCGCACGGGCTCGGGCCAGGGTTCCAGGCTGGCGCGCGGGAGGAGGGCACCGCAAGCACGAGGAGGAGGAGGAGGAGGAGGAGGAGGAGGAGGAGAAGAGTAGGGAGGAGGAGGAGGAGGAGAAGAGTAGGGAGGAGGAGAAGGAGCAGGAGGAGACTAGGGAGGAGGAGGACGATGAGGATGATGATGAGGAGGAGAAGGAGGAGGAGGAGAAGGAGGAGGAGGAGGAGGGGGAGGAGGGGAAGGAGGAGGAGGGCAAGACCACAGACGGTCGGGCCCTGCTCCAGTCCGCGCGGGGCAGCTCCGCTGCCGCCCCCCCCCCCCGCTTGGCGGCCCGGGGGCGCGCGGGCGTGGCCTGGGTGCCGCTGGCCAGGTTACCCCCCTAGATGGTGATATGGGCTGTCCTCTTTCGGGTTTCCGGGGGCCTATCCCCAACTGGGATGGTGGGATGGTGGGGATCGGGATGGGGATGGCATTGGGGATAGGAATCGATTAAGCGGTACTGAGGACAAGAGAAACAGGAAGAGAGGACAGACGCGCAAGCCGCGTGATCTTTCAATTTTGAAAGAGAGATTTTTCGGCGGCAGCTCGGCGTCCCGTCGGCCGGGAAAAGATGCACAAGGAGGCGCGGTGCAACTTTGAGCTCCTTTCCGCTCCAAACTGGCCCAAATTGTGATGTCATTGGCCACGCGGCTGGGACATCAAACGAAGGACGAGGACACATTGAGCTGAGGCCAGATCGGGCATCTCTGAGAATCGGCGGATCTGGAGGATGCATCGGGCGTCGCGGCCTCCTCAGAGCGTTCCGGAACGCTCTGAGAGCGTCCCGGAAAACGCTGTGGAACGGATTCATCCTTGCCCTGGCCCCGTCAGACCTCGGCGTCCCCAAAACGGCGTGACCACACCGCATGGCGAGTCAGCGGGAATTGGGGGGCACCAGACGATTTTGTGACTCGCGTCGTTCTCCGAGGGCGTCTCGGGCGACCGGGGCCGCCAAAGTCTCCAGACCGTGCTGTGCTGGACCGCACGGTGAGGTCTCGTGGACTTTCGAGGTCACCGCGCGGTCTTTCACCACACGGCTGTGGGACCCTCGAGATCCTGGCGTTGTATTTTTCCGCAACGGATCGATCGGGCTCGAGAAATGCAGCGGAAAGACGGGATCAGAAGCTCTGGTGGCGGTTTTGCTTGATGTTGCATGTTTCCAAGGCCACGCTAAAGACGATGTTGATTGACGGAGATGTTGGAAATCGGGCTTCTACGACGCCAAACTCGCGCAGAACAAATTGATCGAAAACACGAACAAGCCTTTCGTATGATTGGGTTGGCCACAAACCACCCCCACCTACAATACCGAAGCCTACATCGCCGTTGCCTACATCGCCGTTAGCGTGACGTCGGATAGTGTCCGGTAAGGAGCGCGCGTTTGCTGAGCGTGTCGCGACGGCGGCCCCCGCGACACGCTCTGCCTCGCGAGCTTATAGCGTTTGCGCCCTGCTTGGCGGGACGGGGGACTGAAAAGCTCGGAATGCTGTGATTTTTGGGGGGGCGTCCAAGAGGGGGGCGCCCAAAAAGGGAGCGCGAAGCATGGCCCGCGGCACGTGCGCGGCCCAGGGAGGGGGCCGGGAACGCATTGGAACAAGAAGAGGCGCCGTGCAATCCTGAGAGACATCATGGCCCCCGCCAGTAACATCCCCCCCCCCCGTCATCAGCCCTCTCTTGGCCGCCCCCGATGTTTGGGGCCTGGGTCCCGTGCCGCGCCGAATCGTGGCGGACCACAGCCGGCAACGCGGCACGCTCTAAGCAAACGTCCCTGACCGCAACGCGCACATGCACGACCACGCTGCGCAGCAACGCGTCTTATCGGGGGGAAGACTGCGGAACGCATCCGGAAGCATTCAAACCATAGCTCCACTCGAGAGGGCAGTCCAGTCCATTTCTGTTCACACGTCTTCGGCATAAATCCCGTCGCCGACGGATACCAGCATGTACGCAGGAATGCTCAAAGTAGAAGCACAAGGGCGATTTGCAGTTGGCGCACACACGCACAAACACCAGAGAAGAGAGGGCGCCAGACTTCCGAAGGAGCAAGAAAACGCAGAACACGACACGAGTTGCGCGAAAAAGGACGACGGCGCCCCTCCCTTGACTTGGACAAGCTGGCGGCCAGATCGTTCTGCACAAGCATTCACCTACCCACCAGCTGTCTCACCAAACGTCGAACATTCTGTCAGTGCGGATGCATCAA